GCCGCTGAGCTAAATCCCCAGCCCCTTGTTTTTGTTTTTGAAGCAGGGTCTACTTGTGCTCCCAAAGCCAGCCTTGAACTCCTAGGCTTAAGCAACCCTCCTGCAGCTCCATATCTGGATGTTACCTCTTTTTGTGACCCTCCAGATCCGTTAAATCCTAGATATATCTTCACAAAGCACCCCTTATTTTTAACTTTAAGAGTTTATTATAATTATAATAACTTAAAAATCACACTGGGGGTCGTGGTGCACACTCCGAAGGCTGAAGCAGGAGGATAGCTTCAGAATTTGAGGCCAGGCTGTGCAACACAGTAACTTCAAAGCTAGCCTGAACTACATAGTGAGAGGCTGCCTCAAAAAATCAATGATAGGGCGGAGGACATAGCTCACTAGCACAAGCACCTGCCTGGCAAGCGCAATTCCTGGTACCAAAAACAAAACAAAACACTAAAAAAACAAAACAAAATTCAATGCTTAAATAAATAAATAATAAAATCTTCCCACCAGCTAGACTAGTTTATCAAAGCAAAGGTAGTCAGTTTATTGTCACATTCCATATGGTGAGACAGCATAACAGTACATACAGGTTAAATGTCAGCTGTATGGTTGCTTTTTGTTTTTTGTTTTGTACTGGGAATCGAACTCAGGGCTTTGCGCTGGCCAGGCAGGAGCTGGGCCCCTGAGCTATACCCCCGGTCCCATGTTAGCTGTTAACTGTACTAATAATATTTTCAATACTTTTTAAACGTTTTCCCCCAGTACTAGAGATTAAACCCAGGGCCTTCGTTCTGAGCTACATCCGCAGCCGTTTTTTAGTTTTTTGAGTCAGGTCACACTAAGTTGCCTAGGTTGGGCTCGACTTGCAGTCTCCCCGCGTCAGTCTCTCGGAGCGCTGGGACTCCAGGGGACGCCAAGGCGCCCGCGCACGGGACGCTTCGGCGCGCGCAGCTGCTGTGCCCCGCGCGAGTTCACGGCGACTGCTCGGCGGCTCCCCATCACTGACCAGCCGCAGCGCTGCTTTTCCCAGTGGTGTCGCAGCAGGCCACCTCTCCGTCTCTGCGGCGGCTTCTCCAGGGACAGCTACAAGTCCCGATGTAGGGACGCCCCCCAAGGCTGCGCTACCACTCAGCTATCGCTACAGCCCTTTTCTTTCTTTCTTTTTCTTTTTTTTTTGTCTTTTTGAGACAGGGTCTCGCTCTGCAGTTCAGACTGGCCTTGAGCTCACTTTGTAGCCCAGGCTGGTCTCGAACTCGCAGAGATCCTCCTGCCTCAGCCTCCCAAGTGCTGGGATTACAGGTATGCGCCACCACGCCCGGCTCAACCCTTTTCATTGTACTTTATTGTCCAGGCAGGACTGAAACTCTCAATCCTCCTGCCTCAGCCTCCCAGAGCTGGGCTGCCAGGTGTGCGCCGCCACGCCCGGCAGGACCGCATCTGGCGCCCTCCTTACGTCCCAGGGACGTGACAGGGGCCCTGCGACGATCAGCACCGCGGCGAGGAGAAGGCAGAGCGCAGTCGCCCCCAGCGGCAGAACCCCAGCGGCCGCCTCCCTCGCACCCGCGCACCCGCACGCCCCTCAGGCCGCTGGCGTCCTCCGCGAGGAGTCTGAGCCCCAGCCCAGACTCCACACGCTTTTCCCACGGCCACGGACCAGCCCTCCCCGTGGGCACCGCACCCACCCCCGCCCAGCCCTGTCACCTTGGCGGCCTGACCCATGGTTCTCCCGTGGCGGCCGCCGCTTCTCCAGCGGTCAAGTCGCCCCGCCTCTCGACAACCAATCACGACGTTCACCTCCCCGAGAGCCACGGCCCACGCGGCGAAACCAATCACCACGCAGCGTCTCCTTTGTAGCCCCGCCTTCCTCCTCGAAACAAGCCGCGGGAGAGACTTTGCTAAGCAGACAGCAACTGAAAAACCGCGAGAAGCCTCGAGGCTCAATTATGGCCTATAGGCGAACGGAAATGGCCTGGAAGCCATGTTTTCTAGGGGCAGAGTCACTTCCGGGCTCGAGTGTTTCTGGTGTACACACTGGGTTGCTATAAAATGAACTGCTTCCGCCTGTACTGTACATGTGATTACCTCCTGTTTAGGAATTATGGTCGCCTATTAACGAACCTGTATTTTAACCGCTCCTAGTTGTAACTTTGTCTTGGAAATGTGCACAAATAAGACCCAAGCCCTAACAACTACAACAGGTACTGATCGGAATGCTGACTTATAAAATTTATGATTTGTACTTTCCTCTTAGTCTCCCCGAGGTTACTTTCTCAAGTTCGCATGGCTAATAAATAGACGTCTGAGGTACACATCTGCTATGCCTGATCCCCAAGACTACTCTCACCCGCTTTACACCCTGCACGTTTGGCCTGCTCTTTGGTTTCGCTGCATCGTATTCATAAACAATCATAAAATACCTATTTAAGTATTAACTTAGTACTTTCTAAGCATCAGAAAATCTCAATCTTCCTGCATAATAAGTGTTGTTTCCCCAGCCCCTACCCACACCCCCACCCAGCCTTGCGTGTTAATTTAGGTAAAACTGCTTTTTATTAAAAACAAAAGATTTGGACCAATAGGTCTCTAAGATCCTTTTTCTTCTTTATGACCTATATCTTTTTTTTTTTTTTTTTTGGAGACAGGGTCTTATTCTAGTTCAGGCTGCCTTTGAACTCAATATGTAGCCCAGGCTGGCCTCGAATTTGTAGTGATCCTCCTGCCTCGGCCTCCTGAGTGCTGGGATTACGGGTGTGCTAGGAACACATCTTAGTTTGTCTTTGTCTCAAAGTACGGGGCCCAAAACAGAAAATCCCAACATGCCCACCATCTAAGTTCATGGAGCTATGCAGTACGGTGAATAATGCCCTTCAAAAGATGCCTGTGCTCAGATCCCCAGAGCCTTCGATTGTGTTACCTTATATAGCAGAAGTGGCTTCGCAGATGTGGTTGATTAAAGTAAGAATCTTGAGGCGAGAAGATTATCCTGGATGGTCTGGTGGGCCCTAAGAAGGATTCTTACCAGCGGAAGAAGGAAGAGGGACAGGGAGAGGTTGGAAGGTTCTCTGCTGCTGGAGGAAGAGGCAACGAACCGAGAACAGGCACCCCCAGAAGCCAGAGAAGCCAGGTGCCTGGCTCCTGGAGCACAGCCCTCGACACCTTCATGTTAGCTCAGGGAACCCTATTTGACTTATGGTTTCCAGAATGCTGCTTGTTCATGGCCTCGTCTATCATCAAAGCCCACAGTGGAGCATTTGCAATTCTCTGACACACGCCCACTTCAGTCATCTCATCTCTGTCACTTCTGTCACTTACAACCGTGATCACAGTGGGACCCACATGGACCATCAAGAAATCTCCCACTTGGCGTGGTGGTGCATACCTGTAATCCCAGCACTCAGGAGGCTGAGGCAGGAGGATCGCCGTGAGTTTGAGGCCAGCCTGGCCTACCCCGTGAGTTCAAGGCCAGCCTAAACTGCATAGCGAAACTCTGTCTCAGAAAGACCACAAAAAAAAGCAAAAACAAAACAAAAAACACCCTCCCAAGCATGAGATCCTTTATGTAATATCATCTGCAAACTCCCCTCTCCCACATAAGGTAACCCAGGCTTCAGGAAGTAGGACAGGAACATATTCCACTTACCACACCCAGCTTGAGTGAAACCAAGCAATAAAGCTGAAATGGAAGGAAACAGGCTGGAGAAGCAGCCATAGGTCTGGTCACATCAGGTGCTATGAGCCGAGGTAAGGACTGTGGATTTTATTCTGTGACAGCCTTTGGAATGTTGGCGGCAGACACTGTGATCTGATTTACAAAGATAATTTGTGCTGTGTGTGGCAGCTGGCTACAGTGGAAGCAGAGAGGCTTTCCATCCAGGAGGCCCCACAGGTACTCCAAGCAAGAGATACAGTGAGGTTCCAGTAGTGGGGGAGAGGAAGGGAAAGGAGCCCATGGCATCTCTTGGAAGTACAGAGAAGCCAGGCGTGGTGACACATGCCCATAATCCCAGCACTCGGGAGGCTGAGGCAGGAGGATTGTTGCAAGTTCGAGACCAGCCTGGGCTACAAAGAGAGCTCAAAGCCAGCCTGAACTGCATAGTGGGACCCTGTCTCAAAAAGACAAAAAAAGTACAGAGAGATGATTTAAGGATGATGTCAAGGTGTTGGCTCCGTGCAGTAGATACAGAACGCTGCAAGAGGAAGTTTTGTTTTGTTGCAGAGGGAGTAAAACTAAACTTCAGGGCCTGGTAAACAGTAGTGAGTAACCAGGAATGTATCTCTTAGAACAGCCTGGGATGAAGAGGCCGGGCAAATGAATTAGAAGCAGGTACTTGAGTCACTGTGGATGGTACAGCCTTTGGACCTAGTGAAATTTGACCCTAGTATTTATTATCCAAAATAGCACACAGTTTTTTTTTAAAGACAGAATCTTGGGCTGGGGATGTAGCTCAGCGGCACAGCGCCTGCCCAGCAAGCACGAGGTTGTGAGTTCGATTCCCGATACCAAAAAATTAAAAAAATTAAAAAATAAAGACAGAATCTTGCTATGCTGCTCAGCCTGTCCCTGAACTCATAGCCTCAGGAGAGCCTCCTGCTTAAACCTGTGGAGGAGCTTCAAGAAAAACAGCACACTTTTTTTTTTTTTGACAATTTCAGGTTTACAGAAAAGTTGCAAGAAAAGTATATGTAAATTATATATACTTTTTACTAAAATTGCTTTATCCCTTCCTATCTCTCTACTTACTGGTCTGCAGGCATTTCCCCCTTCTGAAGTGTTTGAGAGTAAGTTGCAGACATGACACACCTATGCTTCTAAATACAAAACTTTCCCTTGCAGGGCATGGTGGTGCACACTTGTAATCCCAGCACTTGGGAGGCTGAGGCAGGAGGATTGCTGCGAGTTTGAGGCCAGCCGGGGCTGCGGTTACATAGTGAGTTCAAGGCCAGCCTGAGCTGCATAGCAAGACCCTGTCTCAAAAACAACAAACAAAAACCAGAAACATTCCCTTGGGTCAGTATCAGTGGTCTTCAGTGAGCAGTTGGAGGGCCAGCAGCCACGTGCGTCTCCTGGAAAGGCTTAGAGGGCCGCAGCCCAGACATTCTGGTTTGAATACTTTTGCTGTGGTTATCAAAGGAAATTAACATGGTTTCAGACCTATCCTCTCACTTGTCGGCATGACTGTACTTAGACGTCACCGATGTGCCAGTCATGTCTTTAATGGCAAAAGTAAAAAATGGAGACTAAAAGTAAAAATTTTGAGACTACAAGGAACCTTATCAATAATTCTGCCAAGACGTAGCAGTCAGGTGTAACCCTAATAGGGCAGCTTAGGGGGTGTAGTTAAGGTTTATGGACACTTGAAAACTAAATGTTAGCTAAAGAGGACCCAGCTGGAGGCTCCCTCTGGAGGAGGCAGCAGCACCTAGAGAACGGTCAGCCACCGCCAAGGGATACCAGGGATTCAAGGGGAGATCCATAGTAACCGCGGCGACAGGGAAATGGACTCAAAATGAAAGAGAAGGAAGTGGACATAACATGAAGTCCACACTTTTTAAAAGGGGCAAAGAAGCAGGGTGTGGTGGTGCCTGCCTGTAATCCCAGCACTCGTGAGGCTGAGGCAGGAGGATCACAGAGTTCGAGGCCACCCTGGGTCACACAGTGAGTTCAAGGCCACCTTGAACTACCTAGGGACCCTGTCTCAAAGGCCCAAAATGAAAAGCAGCAAAGAGCCTGGTGTAGTGTCGTGGGCTTGCAAGCTCAACTTCATAGGACGCTAAGGCAGGAGGACTGCAAATCTGAGGTCACCCTGGGCAACTCAGTGAGACTCTCACAGTGGGGGGTGGGGTGGGGAATGTATGCAGCTCAGTTTGAAGTGGGTTCAACCCAGTACCGCAATAATAATAATAATTAATAATAACAATGTTTTTGAGGCAAGGTCTCTCTTTGCAGTTTGGTCTGGTCTCGAACTCACGGCGATCCTCTTGCCTCAGCCTCAGGCGTGCGCCACTACGCCCGGCTTCAAAATAATTTAAAAATAAAACTCTTCCGTTGTAAAGAGATGGCGGGGGGGGGGGTGCGGGACGCCGGAGGCGGTCGCTCGGGTGGGACATCCCGCACCGGGTCGATGATGCCGGGAGGTCTGCGGCACAGCTCGGGAGCGTGCGAAAGCCTCCCCCGGGGCGGCGCGGGCGTGCCCGGGCTCACGGGGGCTCCGCAGGCGCGGTCGCCGAAGTCAGCGCGGAGGAGCCGGCCGGAGGGGCCACG